GGGCCATGTGCCCATCAGACAGCAGGTGAGCTGCTCAGTATCTGGATCCTTTGCCTCATACTGAGCAAAGCCTACACATCTTTCAATAATAAAATTGTGAGCTTATTTACTTTCTCCTTTGTGTCTTCAACCATCTCATTAACTGATGAACCTGCAAAGAGATAAATGATTTCTGATGTTGAAAAACACAAGATCTCATATGCACTTGTTTACTCTGATACAAGTTATATATATGCTATTTTGTGTATTAAATAAGTCAGTAATTGAACATGAAAACTGGGATTAATATTTGCCTCATTTGATTAATTTCCCATCTGTGTTCTTTACATGACACATATTCAGGACAGTCACATACATTTACTCCTGGATGGATGAATTTGTTATTTGTTGTTAAGTCAGATTCAGTTTATGAAAACCCTATGTGTAAGAAACCATCAAGAGCCCCAGTCATTGGCAAACCTCCTCAGGTCTTCAGGTCTTACAAACACAAGTCAATCTATCTGCAATGTAGTCTTCCTTTTTTTCCCCCTACCTCCTTTCAATTCCAAGTATTATTGTCTTTTCCAATAATATTGTATCACAGACAGACAGACATCCCACATTTGTCCCAATGGTGGACTCAGGCAGTTCATGATATGTCCAAAGTACAATGGCTGTTGTTGTTGTTGTTGATCTGTGCCTTCAAATCATTTCTGACTTACGGTGACTTATGGTTTTCTTGGTAAGAGGGGGTTGCCTTTACCTTTCTCTGAAGCTGAGAGACTGTAACATGCCCAAGGTCACCCAGTGGGTTTTCATAGCCAAGTAGAGATTTGAATCCTGGTCTCCAGAGTCCTAGTCCAACACTCAAACCATTATACCACACTGGCTCTATTCAAAGTACAATAGCCTCACTTTCGTAATTTTGGCTTCTAGGAACAGTTCAGGTTTAATTTGTTCTTATGATTTGCTTTCAGAATCATGGCATGGATTATTCTGAATCTGAGTACTTTTACTTGGGGAACTTATCTATGAGCTTATCGCACCAAACTCTTAAAATGGGCCTAGGTCACTTTAACTGCTCTGACTGCCTCCTGTTGCATTTTGGAGTTTGGAGTTCAGTGAGGCTTAAAGGTTCTCTGGCTGATTATTTTAAATGCCTCTTCCTAAATGACAAGTTCCAGACTGCAACAGGAGGCAGCCAGAGCCATTAAAGCAACCTAGCCCCATTTTAAGAGTGTAGAGCAGGGGTCCCCAAACTACAGCCAGTGGGCTGGACCTGGCCCGCCGAGGCCTTCCTACCGGCCCATGCGCCCCGCCGCCGCCGCTGCCGATTCCGCATGCACACTACTCGGGTGCCATTTTGTCTTCCACACTGTGTCCACACTGTTCCTCCCTCTGGCTTTCCCTATAATATAGTCTGTGTCTAAATTAAACAGATGAGATGATAAAATGCAGATTTGTCTTACTTCCACCCTATCCAAATGGAAACCATTAAGTTTCTCCATACTGTGTCCTATCAGTAGTTTCTTGTCCATAGTATAAGTCAGGAGTAGGCCAGGTGGCCGGATGCGGCCCCCTGAGGCCTTTATAAAACACAGGTTATTTCCCTCAAAAATTCTTTGATGTGTCCTATTAGCCAAATTTTGTTTGCAATGTGATATCTATGAGTAGTTCCTCGTAGTGCCCCTTCCTTTCCTAAACCCAGCTCAGACATCTGGCATTTCTTATTCTATATATGATAGGAGTCTTTGCTGTTTTTAGTCTTATTTGTAAATTCTTGAGTATCATTTTGCTGTGTCAGGGATGAATGCAATGATCTGATGGTTACTACAATCCCTGGTGTCCTCTTTCTTTGGGATTGAAATATATATTTAACATTTCCAATCTGTGGGACATTGTTTTGGTTTTCATATTTCCTCACAGATTTTGTTAGAATTTGAATGGATTCCATCTGTACAGCTTGAAATAGCTCTATTGATATGCCATTTGTTCTTTGTAATTTTTTGCTTCCAAGTGCTTTGAGTGTAGCTTGAACTTCACTATCTAAAACTCTGGAGTCCCTGTCAAAAGTATCTGTCATCCTTTCACCTCTTTTATACCGTTTTTCAATGCAATTTTATTATCTAGTTAATAGCATGAAACAAATGTTTGATGAACAACACCTAGGTTTTTATTTTTTTATTTTTTTAAATAACAGTTCCATGCAGAAATAAATCAAAAACAATTTTCTGGAAAAAGCAGCAGTTTGTCAGATGCCAATCTAATTGTCAATCCAGCAGTTTGTTTGAGATGTCAATCTAATTATAAACACCAGTCCTGAGTAAAATTGGTTCTTAAATGTGCATTCTTGAGCAAAAACTACAGAAATCCCAAGTACGTGTTTGAGAGGTACCAAAAGTAGTTGATGGATCAGGGACCAACATGTTCTTATGGTCTTTGTTTCTGTTCCATTAAATACCATGCCTATGTCGGGTGGCACTGTGATCAAGCATATGGAATTGTATAGCACAACACATCAGCAATTTAAATAATAAAACAAAAGCAAAGAGGTGTTTTTTATGTAATATCCCAGTTTGAAACCCAGCTAATTAATTTATTCCTGAGTGAGAGCTGACTGCCATTCAGTATAACAGTTTTAACCAAATGACTCAGTGGTGTTGCACCACCTCATTTCATGCTGTGTCCTTCCACACAGGAAATTTGAAATGTCAGTTTCCTCAGAAAAAAAAACGTGCTATACGATTGCTTAAACAGAAGAGAATAATCAGATGGTTCAGTACTCTGTACACATGCACAGATTTCCATTTTCCTTGTGTTTTATTAATCTTGTCACAGTTCAGATCCTTCAAATAAGTATTTTGTATGTTTAGAATTGCTAATCTCCTTCAGATATGTTTTTAACAATAAGATCTATGCTACCTTCAATACTAGTATTGCTAGAGCAACATAAAGAACAAAAGATAGCATAACAAACAAAAAGAAGAAACCAGAGTAGCATATTTATATATAAGAGGAAACAAAACATATTCAGGGGTAGCTGTGTTAGCCATAATGCAAAATTCAACATCCACAAAATAGTGATATCTTTATTCAGCAAACCAAAATGCGCAAACTACTTTATGCAAGCTTTCAAAGCTCCACTGGCTTCTTCATCAGGCAAAGGTGTTAAGAATCATACAGGAGACAAAAGTTTGAAAAATAAAATAATCTCAATTTAACCATTAATCTCAATTTAACCATTAAAAACCTAGGGAAGTGAGAAGATCCATTTCAACCAAGCCAGTCTACCTAGGGAGAGAATTTCATAATCAGAATGCCACCATTGAGAAGGTCTTCTCCACTGTCATCATCTACCTGACAGCAAGAGCAGCACCCAGAGGAGAGCTTCTGATGATAATCTTAACATATGGGCAGTCATTCCTTGTGGTACCCTTCTCCGAAATCTATATAGTTTGTAAGAGAAGCACCTGCACTTCTGAACTGAACTCAGATACATACTAATCCCAATCATAGAATCATAAAATCACAGAACCATAGAGTTGGAAGAGACCACAAGGGCCATCCAATCCAACCCCCCTGCCATGCAGGAAACCACAATCAAAACAGATGGCCATCCAGCCTCCATTTAAAAACCTCCAAAGGAGACTCCACCACTCTCCAGGGGAGTGTGTTCCACTGTCCAACAGTTCTGTCAGGAAGTTCTAATGTTTCAGTAGAATCTCTTTTCCTATAGTCTAAATCCATTGTTCTTATTCTCTGGAGCTGCAGAAAGCAAGCTTGCACCATCCTTAATGTGACATCCCTTCAAATATTTAAACAGGGATATCATATCACAAAGTGCAAAGGCAGGCTTACTGTTGAACATAAACAAAACAAAAATAATGACCACAGAGAACTTACACATATTCAAACTAGACAATGAGGAAATAGAAATAGTAAAAGAGTTCTCATATCTGGGATTAAACATTGATTGGAACAGAGACTGCAGCCAGGAAATCAGGAGAAGATTAAGAATAGGGAGGGCGGCTATGATACAACTAAAAAAGATCCAAAAATGCGAAGACATACAACTCAGCACAAAAGTCATAATCATACAAGCCATCATATTCCCTCTTACCATGTATGGATGTGAGAGCTGGACAGTCAAGAAAGAATATAGGAGGAAAATCAATTCATTTGAGATAATGTGGTTCTGGAGAAGAGTGTTGGGGATTCCATAGACAGCCAAAAAGACAAACAAATGGGTCCTAGAGCAGATCAAGCCAGAAATATCCCTAGAAGCCAAGATGACAAGACCTAGACTGACATACTTTGGACACATCATGTGAAGGCATGAATTGTTGGAAAAGGCAATAATATTAATAAAGGTAGAGAGAAGTAGAAAGAGAGGAAGGCTACATGCTAGATGGATGGACTTTATTAAAGAGACCATGAATATGAGTTTTCAGGAGCTGGACAGAGCAGTAAAGGACAGGGGGGCCTGGAGATGTTTCATTCATAGGGTCACCATAACAACAACAAAATCATATCACCTCTTAACCTAGGGGTAGGCAACTTTTCACCTTTAAGGGCCAAGGGACTTCAGCTCCCAGAATCCCAGGAGCTATTGGCCAACATGGGACTATTGGTCAACATGGCTGAGGCTTCTGGGAGCTGAAGTCCCTCAGCCCTTAAAGGGGAAAGGTTGCCTACCCCTGTCTTAACCATCTCTTGTCCAGGCTAAAGATGCCCAGCTTCCTAAGTCACTCCTCATGTGGCATGTTTTCCAGACTCCTCACCATTTGGTCGCCCTCCTCTGGACACGCTCCAGCTTCTCAACATCCTAATCAATACATGCTGCTACTGTACTACACAGTCATTGTTTTGTGTGCCTTCAAGTCTTTTCCAACTTATTGTGACCCTAAAGAAAACCGATCAAGGGGTTTTGTCAGCAAGATTTGTTCAGGGAGGGGTTGCCTTTGCCTTCCCCCAAGGCTGAAAGAATGAAACTTGCCCAAGAACACACAGAAGGTTTCCATAATCCAAGCAGGGATTCAAATCCTGGCCTGTAGAATCACAGTCCAACACTCAAACCACTACACCACTCTGGCTCCCTTCACCATACCCTCCAACATTTCACAGATGAAAAACGAGGCACATGTGGCACAGTAACATGTGGTCAAGATGAAAGCATCATTCAGTTAGAGCATACAGTTAGATTTTGTCTGAAAGGGGCAACACTCCATCCACTCCTCTCTACTCCTCTCCTCTCTGCCGAGCAGTTGCAAAATTGGTGCAAAAATTTTACACTTTGAACTCAGTTTGCAACAACTGAAGTAAGCAGAGGATAAAGAAGGAAAGTGGGAGGAGTGGAAAAGTGGCACATTTTAAAAGCAGCTGCAAAATTGGAACATTTGAGGATTAATCAGGACTATCCCTGACAAATCAAGAAAGTTGGAAGGTATGCTGCTTATTTACAAGGATAAAAAGTAAAATCATATACATCTGATATTTGTGTAAAACACAAAATATTACTTCCTAAAAGTGAAAATATCATAGCAGCAGGAATGAATGAAATTCAGTAAATTTCCACTCACTGGAGCTTGTCACAGCCTGTCACTGAATCTCCCCTCAACAACAACAACAACAACAACACAGTTGCCCCTCCATTTTCACTGGGGATCCATTCCAGAGCCCCTGCAAAAATGGAAAACTGCAAATATTTAAGCGCCATAGGCTTGAATGGGGGTGCATGCCCGCAGATGCCCACAGGCACGCACCACAGGCACATACCCCATTTTATTCCCCTCTATTTGCTGCCCACAAATGGGCAAGGGACGCAGACTTGAAAACGGAGGGACAACTGTAATAATAATGGTGATGTCTTCCTAAACTATTTGGCTGTTGTGGAAGCTCAGCTAGTGGAATAAAAGTAGGAAAGATTTAAATGTGTCAGTTTTATCAGCAAAAAGGAAATGGATTCAATGTCTCAACCAAGTGACAAGGCATCAACATAAATTATTGTGCATACAGGTGAATTAAGCATATCCACATTATTGTTGTTGTGTGCATTCATGTTGTTTCCAGCTTATGGTAATCCTAAGGATGAACCTATCATGAACCTATCATGGGGGTTTCTAGGCATGATTTGTTCAGAGGGAAGTTAGCCTTTGCCTTCCTCTGAGGCTGAGAGAGTGTGACTTGCCCAAGGTCACCCAGTGAGTTTTCATGGCTGAGTGGATATTTGAACCCTGGTTTCTAAAGTCCTACCTAGTCTAACATTCAAACCACTACACAATGCTGGTTCTCATATCCTCCAAGAATTCACAGATGAAAACCAGAATGTGTGGCCAAGCAACATCAGAGGACGCTATCACACGGGGCTCAATGCAAACAGAATCCAAACGAAATGGCAACCGAATCCGGATTATTTGCCCGTGTTTCCATATGACGTCACACAGAACCCCAACAGAAAGTGGACAGAAAGTGGAAAGAACCGAGATCTTTTGAATTTCGGTTTCTTGAGGAATTTCATTTGCGCAATGGGAATCATTTCGCATTTACCGCGAGTCTGATAACCAAATACGTATTGTGGAGCATTTCCCCGTCATTACCCATGGTTCCTGCGAGAATTACTCTATCTATGCATGTGCAGGAGGCTCATTTCTGCTACATTTACGGGTTTTTTTCTCTTGTGTGTGGACGTTCAATACACTTACTGTAAATGCGCAATGAAGGTAATGACGTTTGCGGAAACAAGGTTTATTTCCCATTTATTTTCGGGATGCCTCGTTTCCACTTTATTTTCAGTTTCTGAGCCACGTGTGATAATATCCAGAATGTTGTCAAGATGGCAAAAGTTTTTAAAGAGGAAAAACACATAAGGTAGGAGAGGCTGCAGATGTTTACATTTGCCTGAGCACTACTGGAAAGGGCAATGCTTCACCTTTTGCACCTCTCCTCCCTGCTGAGTTAATTGAGTACAAACTAGTTTTGCATTTTCAACTCTTTGGTTTGCATCAACTACAGAAAGCTGAGGACAAAGGGGGAAAGTAGGCGAGAGAGAGAAAAACTTGTATATTTTCAAAGTAGTTGAAAAAGCAGGACTGCAGAGGATTAATTGATACTGTCAGTGCCAAATAGCAATGGTTGAAGGATATGCCTCTGGATTTAACCACAGATCGAAACACCCTTTCTCCTTGATGTTTCATAGCTTAACTTTCCAAATGTTCAAGCCCAATAAACAAAAAAGCTATGAATGTACAAATCCATCAGGGTTGTGGGGCACTATCAAGTCACATGTGTGAATTTGTTTATTTTTATTTTATATTATTTGATTATTTATTGGCCTGCTGGGTGAAAGCCATAGCAATGTCCTTGTTGCAAAGAACTCCTAGCTCATGGAAACCAACGTTGTTCTCTACAACGGTCTTAGTTGACCTGGAGAAGCTGAGAGAGACGTTTGGGGATAACTCTTTTGAGGACATTATAAAGGTGTTAAGGACTTTGAGCAGTAACTCTTCTATTGTTATGTAATATTACTCTTGGAGATGAAGAGCATCATTCTGTGGAATAGTAAACTAAACCCTTAAGGGGACCCATTTCTTAGAGGCAAAGGTGATTTTGGTATTTTATTGCTCACTTAAAAGATTATCGCTTTATGTTATAATGTGGCTTACCTGAGCCAGCTTAAAATTAGAAGTGGGCGGC